TTGATCATATCTAGACTTTAATAATTAATAAATTTAAATAAAAAAAAATAATTATATATTTTAGTTTTGAACATTTTTGCTTAGAAAATAAAAATAGGTTGTCTTTTATTTTTTTGTCCAAAAATGTCCAAAGTTATGTTCATGTACTAATGTACTGTATATCTAACACCTATAGATGCGCCATTTATATGATAGCTGGATTTTTTTCGCGTACATACAGTATGTACAGTACGTATAGTTGTATAGTGTGTATAGCATGCATAATACACATAATAGATGTAGCATTTATAAATCAGTTATTTGCAACATTGTGCAAGGAATGATTTTTGTTAGAATGCGAAAGACAGTTTCATAATCATAATTTGAGATAGGGATACTTTAATGATTTGTTCTAGAATATTCTAAAAACTTTTTTGCGTACTGTACTGTACATGGCACATCACTACTAACACCCATTGTTACATGCTCATAGAGATGGTTACCGATTGGCCAATTATATTTAGATTATCGTGAATGCTTGCCTGCTGATCGATAGAATTTTCACAAAAATGACAAAAACCAACATTAACAATGATAATAATTACTTTTTAAAATACGTAAAAGAATTATGGAGTATATGCCATTTCTTGGATTATAGAGTAACATGCAATGACTTTTCATTTACGAAGAGTACTGAACACCTTATTTACAAAAATGGAATTAAAAAATACTTGCCAAGAGAATCAATCGAACAGTATACAAAAGCTTTTGAAGTAATATTTAAAAATCTAATTTTGTTGTTTATATAATATTTTATAGTAATATATTGACTTGTGTAGAAAGATATAAAAGATGATAGTTATAATAGTAAATGGTTTGCTGTCGAGGCTTTCAATAACAAAGAGAAAAAAAGACACTATGAAGAGATGATAAAAAAATTGGAAAATATACATATTACTCCAGACATTCCTGTACGTCAATATAATAAAGCTAATGGCCGTATATTTAATAATATAAAGGTAATAATAAGTATAAGATTTTATTATATTAGCAAGTTAACTAATTATATGTTTATAGGATTTAGAATATTGTATTGGATCTGGAAGAAATGTGACGAAATATCTTGAAATAATCTATAAAAAATTTAAAAATGAAAAATCACTTTTTAATATGTAAGTACTATATATATGGTAAAACTCAAATAATTATAATAGTAACTGTTGTATTGCATCTTTATTAGTCCAGAAATGTCAAATATCATTGAATGTTCTGATAATTCACCTTTAAAGAAAATATTAAAGGATGATGAATGGAAAGAAATTAATGAAAAACATTCATTTCATATTGATGTAGACATTACTATCTCCATTTATTTGAATCAGTTAGCTGATTTTTTATGTAATGATAATAATGTTATTAATGATGATTGTAAAATGCCGCATCCACCTGAAGATAATTTACGACATATCGAGTTAAAATTTTATTACAAAGCTTTAGTAAAATTGTAAGTATGTTTATATACAAAGTATTTTAAAAAAACTATAAAGTTACTAATAATATTTATTTTATATTATAGACGAATTTTATGGAGAACACTGATTTTATTGCCTGATAGTAATATCAGTGAAGGTCAATATATAGCAGATTATTTACACGAAGTATTTAAATTAAATTTTAAACTAAATAAATATAATCTTTTTTCTTTTCCGTATGAAGATTTATTTTATTTATTTATTTTATCATTTTAATGAATTATAATTAATTTATTATACGATATTTATATTTTTAGTATCGATATTACATCAAAAGGATCAAAAGAACGTAAAATCAATGCGAAAAAGAAAAAGTTGTATGATGAGAAAAAATTGGGTTCAAAATCCGATAGAGGTCATCGTGTTGATTTAATAATTAGGAATGTATTAAATATGGATCTAATGGTAATAGAAGTTGTAGGTCCCCCACATCGTAGAAATAATAAGAAAAATCTGTGGGATTTTAGAAGAGGTATCAGAGCTTGTAAAGATTCTTATGAAAAGTTTGTTAATAATTTGGTCGAAAGTATGGAAAATGGATAGACAAACATGTTATTTATAACATTTATAATCAATTAGAAATATATTACGTTCATGTACATGGTTAGTGTAATTGAAATTTTATAATTATTTGTCGTATTAAATTGTGACTAAAAATCTTATTTTGCATTTTGAACAGGAATGAAATGGTATATTTGGACAGTTGATCACCCTGGCAATCAAGTTTATAGAGCAAGACCTTTATGTGAATTTAACATTCCTTATAAAAAGGAAGACGCCGAAGATCTTTATCAATATTTAAGAGTTTCAAATGAATTATGTGTAATAATTATTGTTAATTTAATTACAAATGATTATGTTGATTATTATATTAATAATTGTAATTGTCCATTTTACTATTTTAAATAGAAGCACGTCAATGATGTCTCTAAATTTGTCGAAGGATTGTATGAATACTTAAAACAAAAGGCGAGAGACAATCCGAATATAATACAAGATACAAAATTCGCCAAAATATTGTTAGATGGATGCGCAATTACAAATCCTACTCCTTCAAGTAGCCCGAGAGACCCTCCGCCTGATTCAAATATCACGTCATCTATAGAAGAAGTTTTATCTTCATACATAGAAGAAAACATTGAGGAACTATCAGATGCAGAGAATGATTGGGACACGCCTAGAAATTCTGACTACGAGCTAGAGTAGTAGTGTATTTTCATTCATGGAAATGTAATTGTCTTGGGTGTCGGATACAAATAGCATTTATATTTACTTGCAATGAATTATTTCGTTCATGAAAATGTAATTGTACTTGCAAAAGCATTTACATTTACTTGCAAACGAATTAATTCGTTCATGGAAATGTAATTGACTAGTATCTGACACAAATAATATTAACATTTATATGCAATAAATTAATTCGTTCATGGAAATGTAATTGTACTTGTAAAAGCATTTACATTTACTTGCAAACGAATTAATTCGTTCATGGAATGTAATTACTAGTATCTGACACAAATAATATTAACATTTTTATATGCAATAAATTAATTCGTTCATGGAAATGTAATTGTACTTGCAAAAGCATTTACATTTACTTGCAAACGAATTAATTAGTTCATGTAACTCATGTAAAATATATTTTACTTTAATAAACATTAATTTTTACTTAATGTTATCATGGAATCATAAGTAGCAGGATTTAATAACATCAGTCATTGGAAGATTTGTAAACCTTTTGTACATTAAGTGTTTAACTGTGAATTCGTTACGAAAAAATTAGTCGAGCTTTCTATGCCAAACTGTAATTTTTGTATATCGATATTTATAAATATAACACATAGCGATAGCGATAGGAACTTAAAATTATAGAAACTCTCAAAGCTAGTTTGTTGTGTTTCCGGACACAAAATTAGTCAATTGCTTTTTCTTTTACTTTTAAATTAGAATTCAGAGAAAATTAAATTATTTCGCATATTAAATGTTTTTAATTATCAAAGCGCAATAATAGATAAAATATTGGGCCTGCATTTTACCAGTGATTTCGATTTTAAAATCTAAGAGTCAACGTTCGATTCTAAAGAGGGTTTTCTGTCATTGAAATTCTATCTGAATCCTATAAAGATTTCTTATTAAGGTAATAACAAAAACTACAGGTGTAGAAGGTTTGGATATTATTCAATTTGAATTGCCTTGTAATTTTAGTAGTATTCGATCAATTCGACCATTCTCCATTATTAAAATCGCTATATATCTGATATTTAATTCAGTCTGCTGATAATCTAAAGATTATATTGTCAATCAGTACACTTCAACTTTGACTAAGAACCATGATTTCTTGAAGGCGAATTCAATAAATTGAAGCTTGTAACTACCGAGTTTGCTTTTTAACGGTAATTTTTGTGATATCTTCATTGTATATTCATTCCAATAAGTCACCTACCCTAAAATATCATTGGTCAATAGTATTTGTAAAACGCTTGTCCTGAAAGTGGGTATTAAGAGATTGCAAAGCCTTTAGTGTATATAAAATGTTTAATTGTTTTAATATGTTGAAAGGTTTAAAATATTTAAAAGCATAGATGTATTGTAATATGTATGATTTGTTGACAATACAATAGAGATTAGCTAATAAAATTTTTTTTCAAATTCGGAATAAGTATAAAACAATTATATCAGTCAATTATTAATGTATGATGTTAATAAACTATTTAATATAAATTTCAAGAATAGTTCAATTTACTCTAAAAATGCCATAATTAAACCAACTTTTATATCTTGCATTTTTATCTGGACTAGGAGTTGCAATATTTTATCATAACTCGCTAGTAACTATTATTCAATATTATAAAAAAAACTCAAATAACTTATTTTCTTAAATTGATTTTTAACTTTACTGGTGTGTTAAATATACACATAACTTCATCTACCTTTTAATATCTGGAAATTGCGAAATTCTTGGATATGTCAATGCGAACACGAACTTTATATCATTGTCATCTTTTTAGATAATGTGATTTGCTTAGTTCTCTTGATCGCAAGTAGGGATGGACTCGGTCGGCTACGGTCGTTTATCGTTATAGTTGGTAGAATTACTGAATTACAGCATTACGGCATTTTACCACGTGGTAGAATTAATTACGGCATAGCGATGGTATCTAATTGCCGTAAAACTTTTGTGCCGTGATGCCGTAATATCCTAAAGGGATTGAATTTGTATAAATTTAAATGTGTTGGATTATAATTCACGTCATTTCTAATTAACAAAGTCATTGCTGGCAATAGATAATCATGTAGTTCAGGTATTTTAATTAATATACTTAATCTGTTCTTTCTTAACAAAGGTTTTTTGGTAAACATATGTCTATTATATTAAAATCCTTCGTATTATTAAGATAATTTGGGTTCACATCATGTAATGTTTAGACTACCCTATATAAACAATTTTTTAAATTGTGACATATTTATTATGAAGATATTTGTGTAATATTGACCATGAGAATCTGCAATCTAATGTGTCACATGGCTTTGTGAAGATAAATGTTCGTGATGTCATAGGATAGCATTGAATCGCAGACCGAAAAGCAGAGGTGACTATTATGTTATTCAATATATGTATAGCATTTACAATCAGCATTCATAATTTAGTTTTTATACCAGAAACAGAGTGATAAAATCACAAAGTATATGGTTTATATGGTGGGTTAAGCAGGTTCATTCGCAAAATCTTAAGTTTGATTGGTCCGCATGATTTATTCATCAAATTTTGGTTATTTTTCACACATGAATTCATCATGCATATAGATTAACATGTATTCATATAAGTGATTAGAGTATAATTTGAATACAAAAAATGCAAATGTAAATGATGTTATAGTTGCGATAACTAATGATATTAAAAACAAAAATTTTATACACAAAAATTAGTAATCCAGTGCAAATTGATTTGTGTATTTATTTGATATTTGGTATTTTTTGTTTTGTTCATAGAATTTTTTATTGGGTTGATTAAATAATCATCAAAGATGATAGCAAAATAATTTTTGAATAACCTAATAATCATATAATTTATTACATGATTCCTTATAAAACTTTTGTTTTATTTACTAATGTGAGTCAATTACCTATAGTATATATCAAATGCTTAACAATATATTAATGAGATGCTAGATCAGTTTTCATTTGTACTTTACTTAGATTATTTGTTAATTACTATATTTGCTTTCATTTCAGTTTTTAACATAATTATATTATGTAGTTATTTTATTAGAATTATATGTTTTATAAGCATAAAGTAGGTATCAAGCTCATTATTATTTTTTTTATTCATAGTTTATTCATTGTTTAAAATTTTATTTTTAATAAAAAATCTTCAAAAGAATTTTTGAATATTAATACAACTAGAGAATGTGAAAAATAAACATAAAGTCTAAAAAAACTCAAATTTTGGTAAGTAAAAATAAATATTTTATAGAAAAAAAATTTATATAAGCATATTCTGTTTTTGTACATTTTTAAATTTTTAGAAATATTAACAAGCTGGTTTAATTTACTTTTCTAATTAAGATTTCTAAAATTTAAAAATAGGATATTATAAAAACTTCTTCTAATTATATATTGAAATATTATCAAATATTTATTATTAATTGTGTCTTAGATTAGTCTATACACTTTAAAATTATTATTCATTAATTTAAATGTTGTGTAATTTTTAAACTTATTAATTTATAATATTAATAATTTATAATTTATTTATATTAAAACATAAATAAATATTTTAACATATTTTTCTTAAAAAGTTTATTTGTAAACAGGTAATATTTTAAGTACACTATATATGATTTTGTATATAGCTATATAAGCTTATAATAAATATACATTGTGAAAAATATAATGCCAAATCTTTCTTTATCAATTATTGAATATTAACTAAACTGTTAAAAGAAAATTTATTTGATTACATTTATATATTTTATAACTATAGATTGAAATTTCTTAATATACTTGTCAAAATTCTTATTTCTATTTGTTTATCTTTATATTAACTACTGAGAAATGCATATTTTAATACTAAATATAAGATGTATTATATTGTTTGCAATTTGCATATGTACTGTATTCCTAATCTTTTTTATAACCAAATTTATTAAATATTAACATATACTTATTTGTGACTGTATATTGAATTAGTTCATAAATTCTTATATTTTTTAATTAACTTAATTGATTCATTAATTGCTATATTAAATATATAGTAGTATATTATTAAAATACAGATTAAATTAACTACATATTTAATCTGAGATCTAATATAATAAAATAATATAAACTTTTAAATTATTTTATGTTTGTATCAATATTTTAATTTTTATTTTATATAATAATAAACATAACTATATATATTTAATTTATTTTAATATATTTATAATTTATATAATATATTCTATCCAGAAGAAGCAATTTACATTGTAGAAATGATAAGAGAAGATGCAAAAGAAAATAATAAGGAGTTGTGGTTGCTGTTACAAGACATGAAGAAAGCATATGATTCAGTATCAATGAAGTCACTTTAGCTAGCATTACAGAGAATTAAGTTGCCAATTGACATAGTAAAAGAGAAGTTAGTATTATAACAGAGTTTGGATTGACAAGAACATTTGTTGCTGAAGATGGGATTAAGCAAGGAGAGACAATTTTACCACTGGTCTGAAGGATATTTTATGACTCTTTATTAAGAAGAATTCAAGATGATTAGTGACTAAGATATGAAATTAAAGCATATGAGGTGCTGGACTTGCAAATAAATAGAGTTAAAATTAGAAAGGCAAGGCAAGTTGCAGTAATATACACTGATGATATAACTTGGATAGCAAAGAATAGAGAAGAGATGCAGAAAATTATTCAGATTTCACAAAGATTCTTTAGATTCAATAATATTTAAATCAATAGTTTCAAGTCAAAGCTGTTGGTAGTTAACTCAGATGCAGAAAAAAAGGAGAAGGCTATTCTGTTAAACAATTTTCAGCTACAGGTTGAAGACAAGCATGCATTAACAAGAATGCTAGAGGTGTGGTTAAGTATAGAAGCAAATAAAAGCTTAGTTGTTAAAAAGGTAAAAAGAATTATACAACAGTTTATATGAAGCATATGATTCAAAAAGTTAACTATTAGTCAGTTAATATATATTAATAATATATATTAATAAT